CTCCTCCTCGTCCTCCTCCTCCTCCTCCTCCACCTCCTCCTCCTCGTGGTCTCTTGGCAACGGGGTGAGACGGGGAGAGGCCGTCGGCGACCAGGGACGCATAGCAGGAGGGGTACCAGGCACCACCTCATCCACCTCAGAAGCGGGCGACGGCCAGGCAGCACCGTGCGACGACGGAGCCGAGGAGGTGGAAGAGCTTGCCGAGGACGACGCAGAAGAGGAGGCGGCGCCACGTTGCCGACGGAGGCAGAAGAGATCAGCACGATCAGCATCAGACACAGTCCAGGGCGAAGCCTGACGCCTCCCGCAAGGGCAGCTCTGTGCGTCCCTGACAGCGATACAGTGCGGGCGCGGCCGCAAGAAGCCCTCGCAAGAAACCCAACCCTGAGAACCCGCGCGCGAGGTGCACCTGAAGGGAAACCTGGAGCACCCTGGACGCAGCAGCTCCTTCAACGGCTGCGGGAGGTCACCGCGCAGCACGAGGAGTGAAGAAACAAAGGATACCCTAACGAACAACATATGGCTTCTTGATGCGCGCCCCCAGTGCACAAGGTGGCGCGAAGAGGTCGGGCAGAAGGAGGGCGAAGGCTCGAGGGTTCGAGGCGGAGCGCGCGCGTCCGCCGAGACGAGCACGCTGCGGCGGGCAGGCAGGGCGCCTGCGGTGCTCAGAGCGGGCGCCGAGAAGCGAGGGGGATCAGGAGGAGCAGGAAGGGGAGCAGGAGGAGCAGGAAGTGGAGCAGGAGGAGCAGGACGGAGGGCAAGAGGAGGAGGAGGAGGAGGAGGAGGAGGAGGAGGAGGAGGAGGAGGAGGATGCGGGCGACGAGGACGAAGTGCGAGGATGAGGAGGGATGGAGGAGGAAGGAAGAGGAAGATGGGGAGGAGGAGACGGAATAATGAGAAACGACTTGCGTCTCTCCCCGAATTGGTCTTTGCCCGAGGGCTTCTCTGACGCGTCTGTGAATCGCGGTCGGTGCGCGGCCTGCACCGGCTGGCGCTCCTCGGTTCCTGGGCTCCATGGTGCCTTGTCCCCTTGGCCTGTGCTCCTTGGCTCCGTGGCTCCTTGGTCGTGACGCCGTGGTCTCGGTTCCCTGGTGCCTTGGCCTTGGTTCCGTGGTTCCCGTGTCTTGGTTCCTTGCTGCCTGACCGCGCAGAGCCAGACAATGCCAAGCAACACCAAGCAATGCCGGCCAGCGGCATGCAGTGCCAAGCAACGCCACGCAACGCCGTGCAATGCCACGCAGATGCGAAGCAGTGCCGAGCAACGCCAAGCAATGCCAAGCAGTGCCAAGCAGTGCCGAGCAACATGCCAAGCAACATGCCAGTCAGTTATGCCAGGCAGTGCCAAGCAACTCCTGACGGGGCCCAGCGCGGCCGAGGACCATGAATGAACCGCCGTCACGACTTGTCTCTCGCGACGCCGCCTGGAGAGCTGGGGAGCACGACGTCGTCCACGTCGGCCGACGCCCACGGGAGCGACGCCGACGAAGACGCCCGTGCGGAACCCGACGCCAACGACGACGGCCGCGAGCACGACGACGACGACGACGACGATCACGATTACGATCACGATCACGACGTCGGCGACGGCGACCACGATCACGACGACGACAATGACGAGGCGACCACGATCACGACGACGACAATTACATTGTTGATCCCCCCCTGCCCTGTGCACATTATGTTCTTTCAATTGAAGTGCTCCTCCCGGGGCTCGCACCGTTTCTTGATAAGGTAGAATATTCATCCTAAAGCTGCGTCGTTGGCCCCAAACTTACAACAAAAAAGGCTCCCTCCTGATATTCTTCCTCGCAATGTATTGCCACATGGCGCTCTCGCGCGGGACTTCCTGAGAATTCACGCAAGGATCGCGCTCTCGCGTGGGACTTCCTCGCCATGTATCCAGATGCCACGCCCTCGACGCTCAGGAATCGCGCTCTCTCTTGGGCTTCTCTCATGCCATCGCTCGAGACCTCCCCGCGATTCATACAGGACTCACGCTTCAGCAACCCGACTGACTGCTCGACCTGGCCGCCTGGGCTCGCCTTCCCGACCCGCCCGTCAGGGTCTACTCGCCCGATCAGCCCGTCTGGTTCTGCCACGTGTTTTCTGCTCCTATC